GTAGGTATATCCCAAAGTCGGTGGCCAAAAGGTAAAACTAAAATATCATTCATTTAATTCAGGTAACACATTTGTTTGGGTAGATATCTTACTTTTAGAAAGCACTTAATTCCATGATGAATAAAAAAATCAAATGAAGCATTTAAACATTGAAAATTTCGGATTAAATTACAAACGACGGAATCTTTCATCCACTTTTGTATCCAGGCGTCTATGTGGGCCGAAAAGGTGGTTATTCAGGTGGGGGGAAGAAAAAAAGACGAAATCTCAGCAAAATTCAAAACAGGAAAACTGTCTTACGTTAATCTTTCAAATTAAAATAGTTTCTTTATTTATTTTTTATCTAAAAATTCAGCATTTGAAATTCTCGCTTACTTAGTTTTGTTTTTATTCATGGAATACGAAATATGTTAGTTTTTGCTCTTTTTTTTTTTTTTTTTACATACATTACTGATTGATAGATAAAAACATCGATATGAACAGACTCAGATAGATAAATATGAAGATTTCTTTTTTAATATAAATTAGTAATCAACAGACAGATGTGAACAAACTTTCTTTAAAAAAAATCATAAAGGCCCCAAACTTGATGAATTCAAAGTTATATCGTCAAAATGTTTATTATTAAGAAAAAAGACCAAAGAATTTTATTAAATTTTTAAAATCCTTTCTAGCACGTTCGAAATTTTGGTTAAAAATCTTGTTTTTCTTGCGTCAACGGGTGGACCGGAGATTATTATAGGAATTTTTAGCGTCTTTGTTGGCTTTAAAAACACATTGATTTGAACATTCTTGCAAAAATCCAACAATTTTCGGATTTTAATGATATTTTCAGGACTTTACAAATTAATTAAATTACTTTTTAAAATCTTTTAAATCTTGGTAAAAATATGTTTTGCTACATGTGTTATCTCCTCTTAATTTTATGAAATTTCCAGAAATTCAAATTTCAACTTCTCCATATTTATATTACATAAAAGCAGAACTTTGAGAATTTAAATCAATTTGTTTTTGTCAATAGAAACGCCATTTACCAAAAATCTGGTCTGAATTGTAAAATAAAAAAAAGATGCATTAAAACTGACATTATTTAATTAGAAAATATTTTAGTTGCTTTTACAAATAAAATATATTAAGGACACTATTGTCTTAAAAAAAATTTCCATGAATAATAAATTTTTACAAGAATTGTTTTAATCTTTAAAATTTTAATTAGAAAAATTATTAACTATATATATATATATATATATGTGTGTGTGTGTGTGTGTGTGTGTGTGTATGTATGATAGATAGATAGATAGATAGATAGATAGATAATGAAGAGACTCAATAGATTAGTTAGTTATATCTAACTTTTTAAAACTGTACAAATATAGTAAATTATATACATTAATATACATTATATACTAAATACATACATATATATACATTATATAGTAAATATATAATTGTTGTCTTCAGCTTTGATCCTATCTAATGTTATTTGCAAATTTGAAATATTTAAAGGTCACGTAGCAGGGATCTTTAATGAAAGTAGAGAAGAACATCGTGTTTGATATGGCATATTGGGAAACAGGGAAGCCATTATTCTTCACAAAAATTCCTTGCAGATGACGCACGCCACAATATATCTTTAGAGATAAGTAAATTGCTATCGTTTCAGCACCAACTTGTACCAACCCAACTAGCCGTGGAGTTCCGCATTTCTGGGACTGTTCATGTTCTTCATGAAGTAAATTTAGTGCGATATATATATATATATATATATATACTCTTTCTTTATACATTACATTTCAGATTACTAGAAAGCGACATCTAAAATCTGACAATTTTAACCATTTTTTCTACTCGTAGACAATCTGGCCTTCAGGCATGGATTGATTAATCCATTTGAATCAATAATTTATTATTATTATTGCTTTTTTACCCTAATAGTAAAGAGGTGCCTTTTCCGTAGGTCAAGTGATAACAAATATCTTTAATGCTCCGGCACTCTCTTTCCTATTCAAGGTATTTTCCGTAATTCTCATCATCATCATCCTGCGGCCTCAGCCGAGATTGAACTCACTACACCTCTCCAGTATTCCCTATTCGTCATAGCTCCTAAAAGATCTTCCTTAGGGATCAATGTGTCTCGTTTTATCCTATCTGGAAAGGTTAACTTGCGTGATCGATTGTCAGATGATGGGTGTCCTCCAGAGTACAAATGATGACACAAGTTCATCTGTGGCACGTGCACAATGCTCGGCCAACTGGACACGTCTTTTGCAAACTAAAGTTGATACTCTTGGCAAGTCTCCATATATCATTTCTAGAGTTAGGCGGTTTTGCCATGAGAGATTAAGCACTCTTCATAAAAGACGTGTATAACATCCATCTAAACGGCGCTGTTGTTTTGCTGAGAGAGTCCAAGTTTCAGAGACATAGAGTAAGATTGGCTCAATAAGTACGCGGAAAAGTTGGATTTTGAATTGACGAGCAAAATTGGATTTCCAGATCTTATCCATTTTGTTACAAGCAGTCCATGCTATGCCTTTTCTAATGTTGAAGTCTTCCTCAGAGTTCTTGATGTGTGATCCTAGATACTTGTAGTCTTCGACATATTTGACGATGTTATCTGAGTGTGTTTTGATCTCATGATTGTTGCGAATGTTAATTGGCATGCACTCAGTTTTGGTTTCATTTAGGTGAAGACCTGCACAGTTAGCTGTATGATCCTGACGCTCCACTTAATTTTCGGTTCCTTTGGCTTCCCTCCCACCCCGAAGTTTTTTCTGGATTGTTCCTAGTGCTCGAGTAACAACCAGAATGACTATCTACTCTTTCTACTGTCTGGCAAGGTCGAAGTATTTGCTTATTTTTAATCTATAGTATGCCCGAGCAACTACAACATCTATCTAGAATGTTCGGCTCTTCCTGTTTTCGATTACAAAATTCTGTCTTCTGGCCTGGGTGCGCCATTTGAATTTCAAAATCCACAATTACTTTATTATTGATATTATTACTGGGTGAAAGAGTAGCACAGCAACTAAGTGACTATATATATATATATATATATATATATATATATATATATATATATATATATATATATATATAAGATCTGATTGGTGGTACAAAATTTTATGACCGCCATGAAAAACAAAATTTATATATATTACCACTCATAATGCTACTTTGCTGCTAACATTCGTGTAGTCTTTTATGGCAAGCCTGTCCTTCCATCCATGCGGAAAGACGTTCTCCCTCCATATCATAATAGTGACTTGATTTATTCATTTAAATGTAGTTGTGGCTTACACTACATAGGGAAAACAACTCAGAGGCTGGATGACAATAAAGTAACACGTCCCAATAAAAATCCACAATCTTAAAGATTCTCCTTCAGACATTCTGACCAATACATAAGGGTCTTCCATCGCAAATCATCGAATAAATAGCCATAATTGTGCCACTAATTTCAGTGTTGACGCATTTACTATTCTTAGCAAGTCCGACTCGAATTACCACTTTATATTTTGTCTTTTAAACCTTCACTGTGCAAACACAAGGATTTCATACTGAGCCTCCAAATAATTTCCATCTAAGCAATATTTTATCAATACATATTGTCCATCTCCTTTTAGTGTTAATTCTATATTTATTAACCTCGATTTAGCTCTGTTGAGCGACGTTCGAAACAAGTTAGCTCGCTCGTTTTTCATTTTTACCTTTTACTTTTCATCGTGAGTGGTAATAAATATAAATTTTGTCTTTTCATGGCGGTCACACACACACGCATAATGTTATATATATATATATATATATATATATATATATATATATATATGTTTTATTAATGTTTGCACAATACAAGTCCAGAGAGCCAGTCAAAGTAGACAATCGATGAATGATGATGTATGACCATGAAAAGGTAAGTGCAGTTTATGAGGATATGTAAGAAAGATAAACGGTTAACCCTAGACTTGAAGAGTTTAAGAGCCACTCAAGGTAGAGGCTTACTAAAGATGACGTTGTATGAATGTAAGCAGAGGGGGGTAAGAAGTGTAGTTTATGAGTATATGTAAGGAAAATAACAGTTAACCCTAGACTTGAAGACATTTTGTCGGGAGTCTGGTCAACAAGTTAGCAATTCTTGGGAAGAAGCTATCCAAGTGGAACCATCTCCTTATTAATGGCGATTTTCTAAGCACAGGTTAGATGGGGCATAAGGCCAAAAGTATGGGGCACCCAGAGAAGATCGAACACACAAGTCAGTCGTAAGTGAGACAAGCTTGCTAACCATTGCACCACGCCGAGGTAGCCCTTCCTCTGTGTACTCCATTAATAAATTAAATACACAGAGAATTAGGAAGATTCGTCGCAGTGTTATTTGATGTAGCCCTTGTTGAGATGTGAAGCCATTACAGCCATGACTGGTGTTGAGCATTTATTATTATTTCTCTATTTTATAGTGTTTTATTTTATATAGTAAGCTGTTTTACTCTGTACGCAGGCCCTCTTTAAGTTTATTATTATTATTTCTATATTTTACAGTTTTTAATAGTAAGCTCTTTTTACTCTGTACACAGGTCTTCTTTAACTTAATAATAATAAAGTTAAAGTCTTGTGTATAGAGTAAAACAGCTTACGATAGAAACTATAAAATATACAAATAATATTAATTTCTATATTTTAGAGGGTTTTTACTAGTAAGGTGTTTTACTCTGTATGCAGGTCTTTTTTAATTTCATTATTATTATTTCTATATTTTTTTCTCGTAAGGGGTTTTACTCTGTACGCAGGTCTTTAACTTCATTATTATATTCTGTTTTTGTCATTGTTTTTGGTTTTCAACCGGTGATCTTACAATGTGAATGTTCTCCATCAAGTTGGGCGACTACAGCCAGATGGCACCTTTTCGCAGAATATATTCAGAGCCAAGCGACACAGATTTCTGAACGGACGGAATACGAAGCCTTATTCCGATTTTCTTAATGTAAGTCTTTAGGTTCAATGGCTTACGGCCATATCCCCTTGAAACACCGGTTTCCGTACGTTCACCTAAGTTAAGCAACCTTGAGCCTGGTCAGTACCTAGATGGGTGACCGCTTGGAAATACCAGATACTGTGGATGTGGATGTGGGGGTGGTGTAATGGTTAAGGACTCGGAATTGTTAATTGGAGAGCCGTGTTCAAATTCCCGCTGAGTTCATTATATTCACTTACGCGCAAATACATTTGGGAAAGGTATGAATCCACGTTTTCCCCACCAGCTATGGGTTAAGTAGTAATAATTGTATCAATAAACCATTATTATCTAAAAAAAAATTCTTATAATCTAAAAATATTTCCTGGCTTTAAATAACCTCCAGTGGGTTGATAAGTCGTAGAAAACGAATCAATCAATTTAAGTTCTGTGGTATACACCCCAACGCCCCGATGATGACAGACCAAAATGGTTCTGAAGTCCCACATTTTTGCAACCTCGATCCGCAGCTCAATGTACTTTTTTATGCTTCTCAATTTCTTTGACCTTGCCTTCATGGTCACCAGTAACAGTCACATCGATGAGGAGGCATTTTTCAACGACGGTCATATTATTATTATTATTCCAGATATATCGGAAATATCTGGTTATTTCCGTTCTGGTAATTTCGAAATATTCAACCATTTCCTCTAACAGTGCCGACCGGAAGTGTTCTTTCTGTCGAAGTGAGGTTACATGTCCGCGTCTTAACACCGTGTAAACTAACAGAGTCAAATCAAATGTTCTATTTGATTTCTCCTAGAGAGATTGGACAAAACCTCCAGTTGTTAATTTGGTAGGAGCCAAAAGTAATTAATTCTGAATCTCACGCTGATTAACTAAATGCAAGAACGGTGGGGAAAGTTATGGTTTTATTTTTTTGTCAGAAAAATATATTAAATGGCATTAAGAAGAATCTCTGCACCGTGTCCCTTCAACACGTTGGCAATCATGGCTCTCCACAATTTCTTGTTCTTTGTAGCTCTTAGTAAATTTTGCCTTTTTTCTATATCTCCTAAACCCCGATCTGTCATCCAAGATCATTAGGTAGGATACGCGCTGTTTTCTTGTGTCTCTCTAACCTTCAATATGTCCTGTGAGTGTCAAAATTTTCAAACCCTTTTTTCCTCGTTATGTGTCCTTCTGATGTTAATTATAAGTGTCTTTTTTGTCTCCATTTTCTCTAAAACTTCGTCGTCACTCACATGTTGAGTACATGATAATCTGAGTATTCTTCTGTGGAAACACATTTCTGCTGCCTAAAGTCTCTTCTTTATGAGGAGATTGTCCAGTATTCACTGACATATAGGAGGACTGATATGACTTAACAATTCAATATTCTTTTCTATGTTTCTATCGAAATTTTCCTGTTTCTTCATACTTTGCTCGGCTTTTGGAAGACATCATTCTTTATCCCAATACGACTTCGGATTTTGATGTCGCATTTTCCGTCCTCTATTAAACCATCTCTAGTAAATCTGACCGTTGATTCGTCAATAATTCTTCCGCCCTTTGATGGATCTTATTTTTTAGTCGCCGCCCATCCGATAATAGCATACAGACACAGACATAAACATATATATAATAATTATGTAAGTTTTAACTTAGATAATGTGCTAATTTTTTTTTTTATTTGATGCGAACAGTCGCCGGATGACGGTCCGGTAACACCTGTCGCTCATGTCTTCCCTTACCGGGAGAGGGAACAATTTCAAGAGTTTGAATCCCTCTAAGCCGTTTTCCCTAAAAGTGACGGTCAGGTGACACTTGTTGCACATGTCACACTTTACCTGGCAAGGAATTAATTCCAATAGACATAAATTCTCTTCATGCCGTTATCTTACATAATTTGAAATTTAAAAGCCAGGAGTTTTCTTGAAATTGATAGTGGAGTGATTTCCCGCTCTCTTCTCCACGGTGATTTATTGAGATACCACCTCTAGTTAGCTAACCATTGACTCGTCAAGACTTCTTCAGGACTTTGATAGATCTTATTTTCCATCCTACAGTATTGCTTAACTACCCTGTACGATGAAATTGGAGTAGGAGTGACGGTTTAGTCGCCAGCCATTTAACAGAATCAATTGATACCTTCTTCAAATGTATTATTAAAAGGTATCAAAATATTATCGTTTTTGTTGTTGTTGTTGTTTTTTTAGGGTGGGGGCACCATTTGAGAGTTCTCGTATGTATTTAAAGCTTGTGTAATGTTCGAAATATGGTTACATCAGATGATTCAAGCTGTTCTACAAATTTTCAAGTACTCGTGATTAGGTCTTGATTTATTCTGGAAATATACTGACATTATCCAAAATAGACTGGGAACAAGACGTCTACATATAAATAGAAAACGCAATGAATACACAAAAACTGAAAAAGGACATAAGACAAGGTGGTGTCTTCTCACCGGATTTATCCAATATTTAGCTGAGGCACTCCTAAGAGAACTAAATGATTTATTATACTTTATTATCGGTGGACACAATCTTAACAGTATATGATACATAGATGGTACTAGGTTTATGGCAGATTTAAGCGGAAACTAAACAAGCTTATAGAAAATGTAGTAATTAAAAGCAAGAAAAAAAAGGTCAACCAATCAGTTATAAGAAGACAAAAGGTATGGTTTTCAGTAAGAGAAACAGCTCAAGTAGTATACAGTTATGCTGATAGTCAAATGGCAAATGCTGACTGAGAAAGAGGTTCCAGATCTCTCTCTCTCTCTCTATATATATATATATAATAAGTAACAGCAAATTTGTCCAAGTCGTGTTGCAGCATAGTATAATTGTCCAAATATTTTATATCGAAAAAACAAAAAAAAATTAATTGAGTTTCTTTTTCTCAGATTTTCATTTGAGACATTTAGCCATTTGGACATCGTTTGTCGTAAAAATGACTGAAAAAAAACTATTTGAGTTTTTCAGCTAGAAAGAGAAAAGGCTAAAATCGTTTTGTGTCTGCCCCATTATGTCTTCTGAAATGAGCAATGGTGAGACGAAAAAGATCATCAGGCCTTCACTAATGGTACCAACATTCATACTCTTGCATCCATCAAAGTCCATTCAAGAACCATCAAGAGAATGTTGAATAGGTTTAAATAAAGATGGATCAGTAGAAAGGAAAACTGGATCAGGCGATCACAACAACAAGAGGGATCATAATTTCAACTTAAAGCTAAATACATTGTTATTGCTCAAAGTTGACTCCAATAGTTTATAAAAACCTCGGAGAATTCCGGTAAGATAACTTTAATCATTTCTAAGAGACAACGTTTTTCGAAATATCAACAATATATATAACTCTGTCGGGATTACATACCCAAATTTATTATGAAGATCGCATGGATAAAAACAATTCATCAATCTATCTTTTACCTATTCTGAAGGATTTCCATTTCAAAATTCGGAAACATACACATTTTCGAAATATACTTTCATGAAATTTTTTCAAAATGTCAATAACACGCACACAAACACACACACACATATATATATATATATATATAAAGGCTTAAACACTAATATTAGTGTTTAAGCCTTTTTTATTATATCCTTACTCTGTGAGTTCTACCTGGATTCTATCCTCTTGGAATTTTTTATTCAAAAAATATATATCTATGTGTATGCATCTATGTATATATATTTATATATTTTGCATATGTATGTGTATATTTACCACTAATATTATATATATATATATGCTTTTATTTTTATTAGGTGAAAAATAATGCTTGGTCTTTGAGTAATGGTCAGAATATTTTTAATGTTGGCCTCAAATATTTATTTTCTGTCTTGATGGTATTCATTTTAGTTCTTCTCTGTCACTTTCGGAAATGAGCGATGTTTGACATTTTCCTATTCCTGTCGTTCCCTGTTCTGTCATCAATTTAAACAAGATCGTTAAGGGTATTCACCGCTTTCCTCTGTCCCCCACTTGCCTTCAACTCATTGCGTAAACACGGGTCCGCTTTACGCTAGAGTAAAACAGAAAAGAAGCTTTACATAGGTCCACTTTACATCAGAGTCATTTAACACAGGAATCCCTTTTTGGTTAGCGTGGGAAATTTTCAGCGACTCCCGGTAGTCAAGCGTCTGCGGAATTTGTACAAACTAAGTCATTCATTCATCGATCAACTGATGCTTTTCCGTCTCCTGCCGGACATTTCACACATGACTTGGAATCACTCTACCGGGAAATACAGACTATATTTTCCATCATTCTTTTTTTTATTTTTCGTTTCTTTGAGAAAAAGATTTCCTGGCTTATGCTCTGCAGACTTTTCTGTAACGCCTCTTATACATACGCAAACACACACACATATATATATATATATATCTATATATATATATATATATATATAAGAGACCCGGATATAAGAGAAACCCGGATATAAGAGAGATTTTCTCTGGCCCCAAATTAGAGCCTGTCTGTGTTAATGTATATAAAATAGACCAAACCCGGATATAAGCGACTTCTTCTCCGGTCCCGACAACTCTCTTATATCTGGGTTACACTGTGTGTATGTGTATGTATGTGTATGTATGTATGTATATATATATATATATATATATATATATATATATATATATATATATATTTCGCAGACAGTACTGTTTCGTAGCTCTTCAGTGCGACTAGACAGACGAATGCGTCAAGCCCGGATCGAAACCCAACCGATTTGATGTCATCAGAGCTTCTACCATTGAGCCATTTTCACTCAACAGAACGAGTCAGCCAAATCTAGCGTATTGTTTTTACCAACGTAAACAAACGCCAAGCAGCCATCACTCTCCATTCATTTTACTGAAGAGTTTCTCATTTACACAGGTGATATATGGAGAAATATACTCTTAAGGTGTGTTATATTTATGGGATAAAGTGTTCAATATCAGAGATAGAGCGTGTGTAAATATAAAAGTGAACATTGAAGTCAACACTTAGAGGCGACAGGCTGTTTCATGCTAAACGCAATCGTCAGGCGACGACGGTGGCTTGACGATTGCATCTAGCATGAAACAGCCTTCCGCAAGCGATGCTATTAATTTCTTGGCGGAACAATAATTCTCTCCATCCATCCCTTCAGTTTACTATGGAGGTAGA